AGGGCCTGTCTTAGATCATTGAAAGGACTTTGACTCTGAGTGAGTGTGCGGAAGAGAGAGCTGGTCAGCCATATCTTAAAGGAGTCCCTCTCATTGAGAGCAAACGACAGAGGGCAAGGGCAGCAGCAGGAAGACCTGTCAGGAGGCTGCTGCCACTGCAGATGAGGGAGAGGAGACTTTGGTGGCAGTGGGGGTGATAAGAAGTGATCAGACTCTAATGCACTTTGAGGGCAGAGCCAAAAGGATTTGCTGATGGGTTGGATGTGCCTATGAGAGGAAGAAGTCAGTGATGCCTCCATGGTTTGGGCCCTACTGTGTGCCAGGTGCTGGCGGCACTGCGAGATTCGTGGTGCAGAGCCTTTCCTCACACATTATCTCAATTAAACAACAGCTCTGTTAGTCCAGCTCTTCTAGAGTTGATCTTGATGGTAACTGGAATGGCCAGCCTCATGTGGGTGAGGTCACGGGGCCTCAAGAGTCAAGCAAGACAAAATAATAATAGTTGAGATGTAAAAGAAAGTCAAGGGCCTTTAGTTCCTCCTTAAGCTTTGCAGATACTAAAACCCCCAGCAGGTGGAAGAAGTTAACTGTGTGCTGACCACCAGCACGTAGCCCCCAGACCAGCTGGAGCTGAGGATTGATAATACTGACCCCATGATACCACCTTCTTACCTCCCCATCAACCAATCAGAGAATTGTGCACAAGCTGATTGCACACCTCACAACCCTCTCCCACGCCTTGCCTTTTGTTTTTTTTTGGTCGTGCCACGCTGCTTGTGGGATTAGTTCTTAGTTCCCAACTAGGGATTGAACCTGCGCCCTCAGCAGTGAAAGCGTGGAGTCCTAACCACTGGACCGCCAGGGAATTCCCTCACCTTGCCTTTAAAAACCCTTCCCCCAAAAGCCATCGGAGAGTTTGGGTCTTTTGAGTATGAGCTACCTATTCTCCTTGCTTGACCCAGGTTGGGCGCATTGGCAAGAAACACTGTACTTTGCTTCACCACAACTTGGGGTCAGTAGGTTGGCTTTACTGTGTTTGGGCTAGTGGACCTGGTTCAGTAACATAGAGGTGGCACCTGATGGGCTACAACAGAAGTGCTGAGCTGAGCACTTAACGCCCATTTGTCTCAGCTCATCTGTGTAACCCCACAAGGTAGGTATGTTCACCCCCATCTAATAGGTGAGGAAACTGAGTCTCAGAGAGGCCCACGCCTGGCTGGAAACCCAGCTCTGCCCAGCTCTACCTCACCGCAGTGTCAGATTCTGGAGCCAAAAAGAGACAACGGGGGAAATGAACATTCTCTTTTCTTTATCTTTCTTTTTTTTTTGGCTGCGCCGTGTGGCTTGTGGGATCTTAGTTTCCTGACCAGGGATTGAACCCGGCCCCTTGGCAGTGAAAGCGCGGAGTCCTAACCACCGAAGTGCCTGGAATTTCCTCTCTTTTCTTTCTTTATTCCACACTGTGTGTTGCTGACAGGTCTGAACGTTCTCCATGCTGACTTCCTGAAAAAGGAGATGCCGTTCCTCACCACACATTGCAGTTCCAGATGTGCAAACTCTGCTCTGGTGAGGCCTGGTGTTGACCTGTGGCTGGCGCTCTGCAGGCCCTGCAGGCCTGGGACAGCGCACCTGCAGCTCACCTGCGCGTGGGGTTCAGGGACCGGACCATGCGGATTCTGATCCTCAAGTCTGAGCCAGGACTGTCTTCACCTCCCTGGTCCTCAGTTTCCCCATCTGTAAAGTGGGAATGATATGGGGTGCAATGAGGATGCAGTGGGAGATGGGAGAGACCTGGCCCGTGGTGAGTCCTCCCTCCTCAGATGCTCCTGTTCCTTGGCTAGGAGCTGGAGGATGGCTGGGGACGGGCAGAGAAAAGAGAAGAGACTCAGCTGGGCAGCTGCTTTAGAAGGGTCTGGGATGTTTCTAGAGATGAATCATAGGGCTGAGGTTTGCTTACACCATGGAAGTGTGGGCTGGAGGCGAGTGGGCAATAGTGATTAAAACACCACACCTGGGGTAATAGATAATGGAATGGCTCAGCTGCTGGTTATGATTGGGTATATCTATGGGCATATGTGCAATTAGGGGAACAGATCTACAGAGCTGGTGACAGGGAATGGGATAAGGGGGAGGGTCTTGCTTCTTTAATGCCGTTTTTTTAAGTTTTATAAATAGATTTAGTAGATCAGCTTTACAAGAGGGTATATGACACCACTTCCGGGGAGAGAGCTTTCATTCCTTCTCCAAGGGAGGGACAGGCAGAGGGTCTCCTCAGATGTGCTGGTGGGTCTTACAGTCAGAACGGTCTCCATTCTCTTCAGTCAAGATGAGATAAGTACCTACTGTGTTCTGGGCTGAGGGCCCCCTGCTCAGCATGGACGACAGGACGTCACGGTCCCCAACATCAGGGAATATGTAGTGCCCCCGAGTTCACGTGCATCCCTCTCACAAATATTTACCTTGTATCACTCACCCACTCACTCAGCAAATAATGCCGAGTACCTACTGTGTGCCAGGAAACATCCCAGGCTCCAGGAATCCACAAGTAAAGCAGTGCCTGGCCTCCCAGACCTGCCCGTTCTAGTGGAGGGAGTCGGACAGGAAGCCAACAAGAGCACAGGGTCATTTCAGACAGGGACACATGGGCCCAAGAAACCAAAGCAAGAGGGTCAGGGCAACACAGAAGGGTTCTCTTGGGAGGTGGCCTCCCTGATGGGATCCACACCCCATGCAGGAGCCACCACTAAAGACCTGAGAGCAGGGTTCCCAGCAGGGCCACAGTGTGTGACCCCCAGGGAGGCCACACTGGCCATCAGCATTGTCATGAACTGTCTGTCTGAGGACCAGAGGCTGGTCATTGCAGGAAGGAGAGGGAGGGAACTGGGCGGGCTGGAGAAGCTGCACAGAAACCATGTGCAGGCTATAAGGAGGTGTTGGGTTTGATCCCAAGAGCAGTAGGGAGTTCCCGGAGGTCATGACATAACCTGACCAACGTTTTCTTAAGTCCTCCGACAGCTGGCAGGGTGGGCAGTGGCATCTGCCTCTTCCAGGTGAGAGAAACAGAGGCTAAGCCGCTGGCACTGGCTGCCCAAAGCAAATGAGCCTGTGCATCTGAGCAGAGCCCAGCGAGGGCTAAACAGGCAGGGAAAAGAAGCAGGTGGGGGACACGTATGTGGCAGAGGCACCGGAAAGTGCCACACGCGGAGACAAGAGGGAGGCCTGGGTTCCGTTGTGGTGAACAGGGAGGCCGTGGAGAACAGGAGGCAGGGGAGATTCATCCAAGTTGAGCAGAAAATGAAAACTGGACACTCGGGGCAGAGGGAGGCTTTGCGGCCCTGGCGGGCGAGGGTAGTTGGATGGGGAAAGGCGGCAGGTTGCAGAGCTGGACGCAGGGCTCCAAGAGGCAGAGGACACAAGTGAGGAGGCTCGAAGGGGGCTGGGAGCTGAGGCTTGGGCTGAGGGGGCAGCACGTGTCTTGAAGCGAGGGAACCTCTCTGGGGGCCACCATCAAGACTCTGTGCCCCTCGGGTGTTTCCAGGGCTGAATCTTGGTGTTTCCAACAACATCATGATGGAACTGGACCCGAGATCATCAGACAGATGTCCCTGGCAGGCAGCCATTCACAATGAGTCCAGTGTGGAGGTGAGGGCCCCCAGGCTGTTGCGTAAGTGGCTGGCTGGCTTCTGGCAGGTTCCTGCCTAATCTGAGGAGCCCTTTCCTTGCCGTGCTGAATATTCACTCCCATGATGCCTTCAACACCTGAGCCCAGACCCAGTGGGCCATCTGCTTTTAGGGGGAGGCCACCCACCCACGGTGACACCTTCACTTCCTGTCCAAGAGGCCTAAACCTCTCAGGGATGTTCCAGGACATTCAGTCAATAACGGTGCTGAAGACCAACCCCCAGCAGAGTGTAGCAGGGGCTGCGTCTCCAAACGTCTCAGCGTTTGCTCCCGCACCCTCCCCAAGGCTCTTAGCAGCTCTGACTGTGGTCAAACCTCCCACATCTCACCTCCTCCCCTTTTCATTTCAGAAGGGACAATGTTCATTGGAGTAAACAAGCAAGAAGTAAATAAAAATAACCCATCATCCCACCAATGAACAGTTGTCAATCCTTGCTTCCAGGCTTTTCTCTATGACACGATAATGGTTAGATACGGAAGTAGAAGTGTTTTGCCTCTCACTTCATTCACGTTATAAGATACTGTGAACGCTCCTGTTCGTTCAGTGGTTCCCCTACAAGAGAACTTTTCGTGGCGGCTTCCTGCTCTGGCATGTGGGCTCATGGTGGCCGATCGGCCCATCTCCTCTTGGGGGCTCTGAGGATTTACAGTTGTCCAGTCTTCCCAGGGTTGTCATAAACCCTCTCTCAGCCAGATCTTTGGACTAATCTGTGAATATTTCCTTAGGATAAATCCCCAGAACTTTAATTGTGAGGTTAATTCCAGGATTTTCTTCAGAAGCAGAATTTGCAGCTGGAAATGAGGAGGTAAGTGGGCCAACTGCTGGCCTGTGTGTTCTTCCTTCCTTGGCCTCCAGTCCAGATCCCAGACTCCCAACCCTGATTTTTGCAGCATCTGAGTGTTTTTCAGGGATTCATGAAAATCTTCCCAGGAAAAGGCCGTTGATTTAATTTTCCTTTCATTTGGAAGTCTCTGTTTTTGTAAGAAGTCTGGTGGGAAATTTGCCTTCATGGTTATGCCTGAGAGGTGGAAGTGGGATGGGGAAGGGAGCTGCATTTCTTCATTCAGCAAAGTATTATTTTAAAAAATTTTATTGCTGTACAACACATATAAAGGATGCATATCTTAAGTGTCCCTACGATGAGTTTTTACATATAAATACACCCATGGAACCACCACCCAGGTCAAGGTGAATAACATTTCCCATATCCTGGGAGGTCACCTGCACTCCTTTGTTACATCAAGGAGGGCCTACTGTGGGTGGTGATGGGGATGCAGCCAGGAAGGCAAAATTAAGGTCTGCCCTGTGGCTTAGCGGAATGGGGACACTGTCACAGTTCTGCTGGTGCCAGGACATGCCCCTCACGGAGCCTAGGCCCCGCATGGATCAGTCGTGTGGGTCAGCTGCCTGGTGGGTTGGGGGCAGGGGCTCAGCGCCTTCCTTTTGCTGCAGGTGTGAGGGGTGCAGGGAGCCAGAGTGGTGCAGGCGGAGTTGTGTCAGGGGAGTTCTGTCCCCACTTCACCTCCTGTGTCACCTTTCTGAGCCTGCTTCCCCACCAGCAACATACTAACAATAGTTCATTTAATGAGCTAATAAATGTTTATCTCGTAGTCCTATTGGAGCGGGGGGAGCACTATGGTCATTCCAAGTGTCTAAATGAGAAACCTGAGGCACAGAAGAGATTAAGTAACCAGCCAAGGTTCTACAGCTGGTAAGAGGGAGAGCTGGGATTGCAACCGAGAGCCCACTGCTCCTATAAGATATCTTATAAAAACAAGCATCTCACAGGTTTTGGTGGCGGGGAGATCCTGGGTCACAAACAGAACTGTTTTGTGACAACAACAAGCCACTGTGGCTATAACAACTTCTACCTATCCATCCAGTCATTATCTACCCTCAAAGGCTGGGTGAAAGCCTGGGGTACCCTGGGACCGATGCCCCTCTGGGGCTCAGGCTGCTCGTATTCCAACAACAGAGAGAGAGGGGTTTTTTTGCTGCAAAAGACAGCTGACATTTAACTTGCCCCCTGAAGTGCCAGGTGGTGGGCCAGGCCCCTTAGGCCAGGCCCCTTACGTTTATATTATCTATGGAATCGTCCCAACCACCTGGTAGGCTTCCCCTCCATGCTGTAGTGAAGGAAGTAAAGGTCAAAGGGGAAAGGGGAAAACACCTGCTAGGTTTCAAACCAAGTCTGTCTAGGCCTGTCGGCAGGATTCGCAGAAGCCACCTGCTTTGCGTGTCTACTTTTATGTCTCGGGCGTCTGCTATGCCAGTCCATCCTGGCCACTCCTGGTCTCTGGGGGAGACAGACTTGTTCCAGACGGGGTTATGTGTTAGGACTGATGGATTCTTCTGGGAGGCTTTTGTAGAGTTCAGGGTGTGGCCAAAGGGGGATATGTCCACCATGTCACGTGTCTTTGCTTAGGTCAAGGTGGTGGTTGGCAGCCCCCACACGCTGTCGTAGGCAAGTACCACCTGCTAGTGAAAAGTGGAAACAAACATATCTTCAAGTCTGAAGAAAACATGTTGTACCCAGGTTTCTTTTCAACCCATGGTGTAAGGGTAACGTGAAACTCAGGTCAGCTGGGGAAATGTGTCAGGTGAGACTCATGGGAGGAGGCAAGAAGCAGTGCCTACTGTATGCCTCGTGTGGTCCGTGAGCTTTGCTTGCCGTCCAGGTGCTTTCAAACTAGGTGAAGGGACCAGACCCAGGGACAGATCATGGGCGGCTTTGGAGCAGCCCCTCTGTGGCTGAGCTCCTTGGACGTTTCACTTCTCCCCTGCCTGACCCCCGCCATTTGGCTTTGGCCTCCACCACTGTACGGAGGCTGCCCTTGTTGGGGGCGTCACCCCAGCTCCTTACTTGCCTTCTCCGGGCGCGGGGCCTGAATCCTGACAGGTGTTTCCTTCCTCCTGAAAACTCTCTGCTCTTTTGGGTCTCCCCTCTCCCCTCCACGTTTTCATTGGCCCAACCCCTTCCTACCTGCGGCTCCATGGGAGCCTTCGTGCAAAGGGCACTGGAGGGCATTCCTTCTCCCACCAGCACCAGCCCCCTCTCCCGTGGCTGCTGGGCAGGGCATCTCGCCACAGCTTCACATGCGCTCGTTGGTTACCAGACCTTCTCCACACCCGCACTGCTACAGCCACCTTGGAGTTAAAAACTCAGGTGTATAAGCTAGAAACCAGGGAGCAGGTTATTTATTTATTTAGTGTTTGGAAATGATTTCAAGCTGCAGAAAAGTAGGCAAAAATGGTATAAAGAACATCCATATGCCCTTTATCCAGATCCTATTTTCTTCATCATTTTCTCTCTCTTCCTCTCTCTCTCTCTCCACACACACACACACACACACACACTTTATTTCTGAACCATGTGAGAGTAAGTTACATACATTGTTGCTCTTTAACGAAAAATATTTCAGTGTGTACTTCCTAAGAATAGGAATATTCTCTTGCTACACTGCTGTTATCAACTTCAGTAATTCAGGGTTGACATAACACTGTATCTAATCTACTTACTGGAATTCCAACTTAGTCAGTTGATGCAATCATGTTCTTTATAACATTTTTTTCCCTCCAGTACAGGATCCAGTCCAGGGTCACATACTCTGTTCAGCTGTCCTGTCTCTTTACCTCCTTTAATCTGGAACTGTTCCTCAGCCTTAGTCTTTTTTGATATGGACATTTTTGAGTAATAGACCCCCTCGGACCCCCCCCTTTTTTTTCACTAGAATATTCCTCATTTGGGGCTTGTCTGATGATTCATGATTTTTTTGTTTGTATTTAATTTGTTTGTTTAATTAATATTTATTATTGGCCGCGCTGCACGGCTTGCAGGATCTTAGTTCCATGACCAGGGATCGAACCTGTGCCCCCTGAAGTGGAAGTGAGGAGTCCTAACCACCGGACCACCAGGGAAGTCCTGATGATCCATGATCTTTAGATTCAGGTTATGCCTCCCTGCCTGGAATATTACATAAGTGACGCTGTGTCCTTCTCAGGATATCACATCTGGTGGCACACAGTGTCCACCTGCCCCTAATTGGGAATGTTAAATTTGATCATTTGGTCAAAGTGTTGTGCAATTTCCCTGCTGTATAATTACTATTGTTTCCTTTGTTACTAATAAGCAGTCCTTGTCTTGTGGCAACACTTTCAAGCCATGCAAATATCCTGGTCCTCATGAAAATGCTCCCCACCTAGATTTACCAACCACTGACAGCTCATGCCTGAACCAACCTTCTCTATGATGGTTGCACAGTGATTTTCCAACTCCAGCTCTCCCTCCACACTTACCTGCTGGGCCCTGGTATTCTCCTGTAAGCAAAGCCCTCCCTTCACCAATCTGTCTATCATCTGTCTGTCTGTCTAATCTATCAATTATCTATCCATCTATGAAACAATCTATCTGTATGGACTCAGGGATCTCATTTGTTCCCAGTGGTTTACAATCATTCCTGTTCTTAATTATGTTTATGTTCAGACTGTCCCACGTTTGCCCAGTGGAAGTCCCGCACAGCTGGTCAGGAAGTGAGCATCTTTTTGATACCTGTCTTAGCTCTTGCCTCCCATGTCTTACCCCCCAGTGCACACTGTTTCAAACCCCTCGTGTAGACCTTGCGGGACCTCCCACCCCACCTCTCCCCCAGGCCAGGCAGCTTCCTCCTGTGACAGGTCTGCCTGTGTCCAGGGGGTGGATGATAACCCCATGTGCATGTGTGCCCTTGCTTCAGAGGATGTGGTTTTCACGGCTAATGAGACAGAGTGAAATGAGAGCGTCCCCCACAGCACTGGCTACTGTCACATCTGTTGTGTCGACTCTGTCAAAAAAAGCCCTGGAACTTTGGTCAGGTGATGAATTGGTCATCCTATGGTTGGGCCAGGCCCCACCTTTTTAGTTAGGTAGTAGTCAGTAAAGGTTATGCAGAAACGTTTGCGAGCCTCATGCCAAACCCCAACCCTATACATGTGACACTTGCCTAGAGAGGGGTAACCCTCCCCCCGAGAACATGCAGGCAGGTGGCAGAATCAGAGCTGGGCCTAAGGCCTTCCCATCCCCCTCTACTCTCTGCCACCCCCCACCCCCACTTCACAGTGTATTTATCAACGAACCAACCGCCTAACAATTCACAAGGAAGCTCCATTACAAGTGAAATGTTGACAAAGATAAAGAATTTCTAGAACTTTTTTTTTTTTTTTGGCCACCCCTTGCAGCTTGTGGGATCTTAGTTCCCTAACCAGGACTGAACTCGGGCCTGTGGCAGTGAAAGCACAAAGTCCTAACCATTGGACCAGAAGGGAATTCCAAGAACTTCTAAAACTTGAGGGAGATTTTCTAGAAGACTTTGGTCTGGAGACCTCTGCTCCGTGGAAGAATGAATGTCTCTGTGCAGCCACGAGGCAGAGCAACAGTGTGGAAGGAGGAAGGGCTCCATGGCTCTAAATGCACAAATCCAGTGGCGAGGACTTATGGCACCAGAAACTTCCAGCCTTTTGTCTCACCACCTTTTGCAACAAAAAAACTTCTGGAAAATGCCATACTCTACACAACTGCTTGGCTGCCCCTCCCCTCCCTGGGTCTGGATGCCTAGGATAGGATGGAAATGGGGACAACAGAGGGGGGACCCCCATGAGTGAGGCCTGCTGTGTGTACTCTGCAAAGTGCTTCACAAGCATCCTCTTGTGAATCCATCCCTGGGGGGCAGTTACCATCACTCCATCCCTGGGGGGCGGTTACCATCACTACTTACAGGTGAGGGGGTGGAGGGAAACAAAATGGGAGGAAGTGGTTAGCACAGGAGGTGGGGAGCAGGTAGCGAGTTGGTGGGGGAGCAGTCACCAGAGGAAGGAAACAGAATGAGGACCACAGCAGTGTGGGGAAGAAGGGATCACCTGAATCCTAGGTAATTGCCCCTCTGAGAAAATCAAGGGGTAACTTTAACAACCTCAAAGAATTATGACCATGGAACTTTCCCAGACTCTTTCTGAAGAATGAAGATTATTACCTATTCCTTTTATTTTGGTAGTTTCCCTCTCAGATTACAAAAATAACACAGGTATTTCAACTCTGTAAATATACTAAAACCATTGAATCATCCAGCTTAAAGGGTGGATTTTATGGGCTGCAAACTATATCTTGATAAAGTGGTTTAAAATAAATATATCAATAGAATTCAAAAAGTAACACATATGTTTATCACAGAAGACCTAGAAGGCTTAGAAGATACAGAGACATGGAAAGAAATGAAATCATAATCTCCTCCCTCAGTGATAAATACTTCATGTTCTAGTGTGTGTCATTCTTTTTCTATTACTAATTCATGCTTACAGAGTTGAGATAATGTTATACGTGCACAACTTTGTAGTCTGTTTTGTTTATCTTGATCACAAAGGGATTTTCTCCGTGGTATTAAAAACTCTGCTGGTACGTCTTTATAATGGCTGTGTAATATTCCACCCCATGGCTCTGTGGGTTTACTTAACGGCTGCCTTGGGTATAGACCTTTAAGTGGTTTCTGGTTTTCCATGCTGTGGGAGACTTCTTTGTGAGCCTGTGGGCAGAGTTCCTTGCTGGGAGATGAGTGGTCCCACAGGGTGGTTGTGAAGTGCAAATTAGGGAGTATGTGGGAACTCCCCGGTGGTCCAGTGGTTAGGACTCCACGCTTTCCCAGGGCGTGGAGTCAATCCCTGGTCCGGGAACTAAGATCCTGCAAGCCATACGTGCAGCAAAAAAAAAAAAAAAAAAATTAGGGGGTATGGGTTAAGTTTCTGACATGGAACAAACACTTGTTAATAGCCTCTTTTTTCATTTCCCAAAACAACTGCTGCATTTGTCTGTCAAGCCAGAGCCTCCTGGAGACCATGGAGCTGAAGCACCCCACGCCAGGGTCCAGGACCCTGTGTGCTCTGGTAGGTGTGGGAGGCCTAGTCATGGCCTCCATCTCCCCTGCATGGATGTGCCGTTCGGTGCCCTGCCCTTTCTCTCCTAAAGCCTGCTCTGGGGAAAGCAGTGGCGGGGGGCCCCTTGATTCCTAGAGACATCCCCTCATCTTGCCCATCAAGTACACATAGGGATGGACATGACCCCTAGTTCCAGCCTCTCCTCCTCCAGGAAGATCTCTGGCTGTGAAGCCAAGGCTTGGTCACTGCTGTTGGTCACACAGGTCTCAGATCAGAAACCTCCTCTTCAGGGAGATTTTTCCTGGCTCCCCAGCCAAAGGAGCCTGCTGCTCTCACATCCACCTGCTGTCTTTTCTTCATAGCACTAGTCATTCCTGAAAGTGTTCGTGTGTTCCGTGTTTACTGTCTGACCCCCAGTACCCCCCCCCCACCGGCTGATACCACTTCCCAGACCAGAACATGAGCACCTGGTCCTGTGGGGACCAGGATCCCCAGCTCTTACAGGGATCCCACTTGTTTGAACTATAGCAGCTCTGAGAGTCCTTCATAAGTTTTTTTAATCCAAATAATAATAAATCATAAATAATATTACAAAGAATACATACACTGAATCTCAGTATAAAAAATTCTGATAATACAGAAGCCTGTAGAGTAATTTTGCCCCAAATTTGATGCTGTCTTATACTGTTTACCAATTGCTCAGCAGTTATTAGGTCCCCCCCACCCCCCACCCCGCTGGACTGTAAGCTCTTTAAACTATACCTCAGTGCTAGGCCTGATTGACTACTCAAAGCTATCAAGAGATCTACATCTGCTGAAGTCTATTTTGAGTGCAGAACCCCAGCCCTGCAGCTTGGAGGCTGACCCCACGGCTTGACCTCTCCAAGCCTCAGCTTCCGCATCTGCAAATGGTATTCACATGGAATTTACATGGAATTCACTCTTCCTGCCTGCAGGCTGGGCTCCAGTTGGGTAAGCAAATTATTCCAGTTCCTTTGGGAGGTTCCTGGGTTTAGGACTGAGAGTCCGTATCCCAGGAAACCCCTCAGTCCTGCCAGCAGGATGGCTGTCACCCCTGTCCAGCTTGCCCAGAGCAGCTGTTCTCAAATTGTTTGGTCTCAGGTCCCTTTTACACTCTTACAAACTATTGAGACCCCAAATCACTTGTGTTTATGACTTATTTTTTTTAAGGGAATTTTATTTTACTTTTTTTTGGCTGCGTGGGGTCTTCGTTGCTGCACTTGGGCTTTCTCTAGTTGCGGTGCGCTGGGGGGCTACTCTTCGTTGCAGTGCACGGACTTCTCATTGCAGTGGCTTCTCGTTGCAGAGCATGGGCTCTAGGTGCGCAGGCTTCAGTAGTTGTGGCTTATGGGCTCTAGAGCACAGGCTCAGTAGTTGTGGCGCACGGGCTTAGTTGCTCCGCAGCAATGTGGGATCTTCCAGGACCAGGACTCAAACCCATGTCCACTGCATTGGCAGGTGGATTCTTAACAACTGTGCCACCAGCGAAGTCCCACGACGCTTCTTTCTGCAAATATTTACCGTTTCAGAAATTTAAACTGGGAAGTTTAAAATATATTTATTTAACTGATTCTAAAAGAATAATAAATTCAACACATTAACATAAATAAACACATTTTTGTGAAAAATAACTATTTTTGGAAGCCTAAAATATGTCAGGAGAGTGGCATTGTTTTACATTGTTCTAAATCTCTTTAATGTCTGGCTTAACAGAAATCAGCTGGATTTTCCTACCTGCTTCTGCATTCAATCTGTCCAGGGGCATTGTTTTAGTTGCAATATAGGAAGAAAATCTGACTTCCCCCAGATACGGAGGTGGAAAAGGCAGGCATATCTCCATAGCCTTTTCAGATAATGGTGGATAGTCTTCTTTGATTCTACACCCACGTGTAACAACTGGTGGTTTTGTAAAGTTGATCACTGTGGAATCTGAAACCACGTCAATCAACTTTTCATCTTCGGTCCGTGTGGGAGAGAATGAGAGGGAGAAACACAAATAACGCCTGGGGTTTATTGTGCAAATCATTTGGGTCACAGACCTCGGGACAACCTGGCAAGCACCCCGGGAACACTCTCCAAGGCCCAGAGAGAGAGACAGGAGCCATGGGGCTGCTCTTGCCACCTGGGTGGTGGGCAGCTGTGTTCATCTCTAGGTGAGTCTTAAATGCCGCCTTTGTGGGGTGGCTGTGACTGTGTACCTGACCCAGGGGGATGCCCCCTCCATGGTCGGGGCTCCCACTCCCTCCTGGCCTGCCTGGTAGTTCCAAGTAAGTGACTGGTATTGTACCCATGGGGCCCTCTTGCTGGCCCTCAGGGGCCCAGGCACAGAGCACTCGGTGCCCATGGAAGGATATGCCTGCTCCTGCCCCTTTACCACCAGGCCGAGTTCTCCAGCACAGGGCGGTGGGCTGGAGTGCGAGGAAGGAGAGGAAAGGGGACTGGGCTGCTGGCAGGTGAAGCTTGTACTGGTCTTGCTCTAGTTCTCAGGGGTGCGGGTGGACTTGCACCCTCTTTCCAAGCTGTGTGACCCCGGGCGAGGCTCTGAGCTTCTCTGGGTTTCTGTCGGCTCATCCTTGGGTTAATATGAGGACTCAGTAACATGTAACAAGTATGTATTATGTATTATGCCTGACACGTGTGTACCTATTCCCAGGTGATTCTTATGTGTTGGAGTTTGGGAAGCAGTGGGCTAAGCCACTGCTTATTTTGAGGACACCAGCCCAGAGACATGGGGCAGGCGGCCCAAGGTTGCACAGCAAGGTGGTAGTTGAGTCAGCAACACTGACTCCCAGGGCAGTGCTCCCTCCCGACATCTGGGCCTCTTTAGCCTGTGACCCAAGCTTGAGCACTCAGACCTCCCAGGTGTTGCGGCAGTCACTTCCGAGGTTAGGTTAGAAGAGATTCCATCGCATGTGAGGGAATCTCAGGACCCAAGCTGACTCTGGAGGCCTCCGCTGTAGGCCTGACAACTTTTCCCCTCCTGGGTCCCTGGTTACTATTGCTCCTTCACCCCTAGAAATATGTTGCTGTCTGTGGGCCTGCAGGAGCTACTGTGAATCTGTGGCCACAAGGCAGGGCTTCTGGTCAGGGCTGCCTGACTAGCACTCCCACCCTGGGCAGGGGAACTGGATGAGCAGTTGGCGCGTTGGTTATCTGCTGCCATGTAACACGTTACCCCCAAATGTAGGGCCGTAACACAACAAATACTTATTATCTTGCAGTGTCTGCAGGTCAGGAATCCAGGCACGGTGCTCTAGCTCAGGGTCCTTCAAAGACTGTAGGCCTCTTGGGGCTCTCGACTGGGTTGGGGGCAGGCGCTCACACGTGGCTGCTGGCAGTCTCAGGGCAGGGACATCAGTTCCTCACCATGTGGGCCCCTCCACAGGGCTGCTCACACCAGGTAGCTGACTACAGTCAGAGCCAGTGAGCGAGAGAGGGCGACCCTAGGTTGGAAGCTGCAGCCTCTTTGTAACCTCGTCTCAGAAGTGACATCCCATCACTTTGCTGTGCTCTGTTGTCTAGAAGTGAGTCACTGGGTCCAGTCCACATTCTGGGAGAGGGGCTTCTGCAGGGAGGAGGAGGGCATTACTGGGGACCCTCTTAGAAGCTGTCTACCACACCTGGGAAGAGGAATTTGCTTTGTTCCATAGGAAATATAACACCGCCCATTAGGATTTTTGAGAGCATGAACACCTTTGGAGCCCAGCATCACTCCCCATCCCTCCCCGCCACCCATTGCTCTGTGGATGCGTGGGTCCAGGAGGCACTGACAGGCCGGGGCCACTAGTTGGGACAGGAGGAAAACATAAACATGTCATCTGCAGAACAACCCTAAAGGTAGGTGTTCTAATGATTACCATTTTACAGAGGAGGAAACTGAGGCACAGAGAGGTCAGCATGTGCCTCAGGTCAGCTGGCTGGTACGCTCCTTGGCCCTTTGTCCTGGTCCAACTGCACCCTCCCCATGTTCTGAGATGCTCTGTGGGGCCGCACTGGGGGCTGTGTGGCCAGGCTGGGCTAGGCTGCCAACACCTTGTTCCGCTGGGGGTGGGCACTGACCATCCCCCCTCAGGAAACCAGGGGCCAAAGGGAGAAGTACCAAGTGTGGGGCTGATCACCCCTGCCTGGTGTCATCTCAGAGCTGAGAGCATTGGGCATCCCAGCACGCAGCATGACCACCTATGATTCAGCCCATGACACTGAAAATAGCCTCACGGTAGACACCTACCTGAACGAGACAGGCGAGCCATCTCTAGCATGACTGAGATTCCATCTGACACGTCTCTGCCCATCAGAGTGTATTCTTGTTGGTTTTGTGTCAGTCTTTCTTTAAGTAGGGCTTTCAGGCCTGGGAAGAGGCAAGCAGGCCTTGCACCTCTTTTTAAAAATGTCTTCATTGAGGTTTTTGTATTATCTGACCAGCCGATTCAACTTGCTATGACCTTCAGTGCTTCCCAGTGCTCCCCAAATGAAATAGCAGTTCCTCACCTGGCCTTCCAGCCCCTGCAGAGTCAGCCTCCAGTTCCTTTCCTGACTTTACACCCCAACTGTTCTGCTCCCTCTTCCCTTAAATGGCTTCCCCACTCCAGACCTCTGCCCCTGCTTTCCCCATCTGCTACTTTCTTTTCTGAGGTCTCTGCTATCCACGTGCCCCTTGCCCCCCGCCCCCCAATGTGTGTTTTGTTTGTTTGCTGTTGCTGTTTGTTTAGTAACTTTCTTGACAGAGTTCTGCCAAGTCTGTATTCTTTGTTGTACGTGGCCGCTGAAGTCTCTGCTCAGCGTGCTTAGTGGTCAGCTAATGACTGGACAGGAATTTCCATAAACGTCTTGGATTGATAAGTCTCCTAGCTTTTGCCAAGTAACTCTGTGTAAATTTGGGGTACACATTTAGTGCTCTGGCAGGCAGTTTTCAACTCTGCCTTACCCTTCACTTCCTGCCTGTGCAGGGACTCAGGGTCAGTCAGAGGTAACAGCTTACGGCCTTCTAGGTCTTTCCTGGGCATGTGCACAGCCCTACACATGCATGTGGCTTTCTAGATTCCCAGGAATCTGTCTGAGCTTTTCAAAGCCCCTATGGATGTTATTCAGCTTTTCCTTTTAAGTTTTTTGGTGAGCTTTTTCCCTCAGCTGTTACTGTTGCCTTAGGCAACTTCAATGACAAACAATGCCTTTTTTTTTTTTTTTTTGACAAATGCTTTTGGGTTAAGGCAAATTATAAGGAGTGAGCTCTGAATCAGCTCAAAGATAAACCCCATGGGTTGGGGTTTCCAGGGGACTGCCAGAATGATTTCCCTGTGGTGGATATTTGGAGATCCACCCCCTTCTTCTCCCTTCAGAGGTGATGAGGCTGCTGGTTTTCACTATGATTGTGGTGCTGTTGGATTTTAAGGCTACTGTGGAGCTGGGGAGAAAGGGATGGGAATCAGCAAGTTAAAAAAAACATAAAACACTGTATTGTTACAGAGAATAAATGCTCCTCAGATAGTTGCAAGCCTTTGGTTAATTTCAAGGGTTCTGAAAAAGTTGATTTTGACCATTTTTGCCAATGTTCTCATTGCTTTTATGGAGGAGTGAATTTTCAGAGGTCTTTATTCGGCCATTCCCACTGACTGACGTCAGAATGTGCTATTTTTCAGGCATGGTGATTTGAACACCTATCTGTGAATTCATAGCCCTTGGGCCCCTGGAATGTCCCTGGAGTCCAGGCTGGCGGGTAGGCTGCTTCTGCTTCCGGGTGCATTGGGACATTGGGCCCGTGGAGGAGCCCTCTAAGGAAACTGCTTCTGGGTCTCATTCAGGCTCCCCTGAGGAGAGGGAGGTCATGGACCATGCCTTCTCCTTCCGCCGTTATGAGAGCGAGTACAAACTACCCCAAAAAGAGGACCTTCTTTAGATGTATGCCCAGGCAGATCCTGTGCTGCTGGGAAACCCTATCAAGTTCACCATCACTCTCAAAAGAAAGACAGACAGCTACCCCAAAGACTGTCACATCTCGGGCTCCCTTGAACTGCAGACATACACGAGTAAAAACGCCACCAGCCTGGGCATCCTTCATAAGACCACGCAGAGGCAAGGTCAAGGTACTGGAACCATGGGCAAGAAGAGGGATCAGAGTCCCCACTATCTGAGATGCCCCTCTTCTCTGTGGACTATTTCCATACACTAACAAACTTGTGCATATGAGTAAACACAAACAAACATTTATTAAGTACCTACCACCTGGTAGTTACAAGGAATCTAGGCACAGAGAAAACGGGGGCCAAATAGACTACTAGTCCAGGAGCCTGGGGTCTATCACAGACTCAGAAATTAGGGGTGCTGGAAGTGTCATTAGAAGTCTTCTTTTATGATGGCAAAGATTTTATCTCAAATGCCTAATCTAATCAATGGGTTGTGGGTACCCAGGGCAGTTGAGAATGGGCAGAAAGCCCCCAAAACAACTGTGATGTCTCCATGGACTCAGGATGGGAGCCTGGAGAACGCAGCCAATTATTATTCCACCTTGAGCCCAACTTCTTGTTTTCCAAAGACAGGAAGAGACTTACCCAAAATAACCCAGTTCCATCCATCTAGATTTCATCTAATTCTGTGCTTGATGATCACTCATTTGGGGGGGACTATAATAAATGACCACACTCCTCCTCTCTAGCTCTTTGGCAGCACCTGAAGAGACTCTGCCCTTGGACTCCAATACCTACATGGGCAGCCTATGATTGATGATGAACCAATCATCAAAAGTTTCATAATTGCAGGAATTCTAGAGTCCAAGGAAACGACCGCCTCTCAGGAGTTTGCATCTTTCCAGTACCCTGAGCTCCCTGTAGAGGTTAGCCACCTGCAGGCAGAAGGGTCTCCTGGCTGGCTTGCGGGTGGGGCCCTAAGAATCCCGGAGGGACCCCTGGTTGGCTTATTCTTTAGGTCAATTGTATTCCTAAGAAAAATGACACCTTGCTTTTCCAAATAATTATTTCTGGAGAAGTGATGGATCAAACAGTTTTTTTTTTTACATTTTTGGTTAACTAAATTCTTAACATTTTAATTTTTGGAATAAGTAATTACTTGCACATTGTACAAAATTCTAAAGATGCAAAAGTTACAGGGGCCCACCCTCCTGGAAGGCAGTTAGCGGTCTTTCATTACCGCTAATGAAAGCGGTAATGAAAGCGGTCTTTCATTATAGCTTTCATTACCGCTGGCAGAATTGGCCAGCCACTTATCGGCACTTACATCTTCTAAAATGCCCTGCACATCCCACTTGCCACCCTCACCCAAGTGGCTTAGCAGAGTATTTCTTCCACCTCCTGAGAGGAGTCTGGGAAAACGCACCTCTCTCCAGGTAGTCATGGTTCCAGGGATGTTTGAGGTGCCTTTTTTTTTTTTTGGTAATCTTTTTTTTTTATTCATTTATTTTTATATTTATTTTTGGCTGTGTTGGGTCTTTGTTTCTGTGCGAGGGCTTTCTCTAGTTGCGGCAAGTGGGGGCCACTCTTCATCGCGGCGCACGGGCCTCTTCACTACGGCAGCCTCTCTTGTTGCAGAGCATCAGGCTCCAGACGCACAGGCTCAGTAGTTGTGGCTCACGGGCCTAGTTGCTCTGCGGCATGTGGGATCTTCCCAGACCAGGGCTCGAACCCGTGTCCGCTGCATTAGCAGGCAAATTCTCAACCACTGCGCCACCGGGGAAGCCCTGAGCTGCCTTTTAACAGGCGCTCTAGCTTTGCCTGGCTGGCCTGCCTTTTAATTGGCTCTGACGGTATTTCAGGAATTAAGAGGTTTTAGCTAATATATCTGCGTTGCCAAAGGCATGGAGAAACCACAGGGTGTTGGTGGGGAGTGGGAACTGTTTCGGAAGAGCTAGATATTTGGATGAATGTTACAAATGAGGTGAAGCCTGAAAAATGCAAAACATGATGTAAGCCCAGGGGATCCCTGGGTGGAGGAGGGGCACCAGGCCTGAGGTGTGGGTCCGAGGAAGAGGGCTCATCCAGGGCCAGGTGGGGGAAGTGGTTACACCAGTGTCAGGTGCTCTGGCCAGATTAGAGGTAGGGGCACTCTGAGGGAAGAACAGAGCTTAGCTTCAGTTCTGCTTCTTTCTCTGGGCTGCTCTGTGAGGCAACTTGACTGACAGGCCCCTTTTGGGATTTGGGGTCTTGTCTGTGAGGAGGTATGATATCCAAGGGTATGGAAGGGAGCCCTGGTGTGTTGGGCGGGAGCCTGTGTATTAACCCTGGAGCTCGGGAAGGGCATCTATGGGAATCCTCCCTCACAAATGTTCCTTGTTTAAAGGGCCTTTCTGGGGAAGCTCCTTGCAACTGTCTGTCTTGCTAGATGGGGCACCTCAGAACCACAGGCTGCAGATGGGGCTGGGTGGTGCAGGACGGTCCTTAGTTTGGTGAAGAGGGATCCTGCTTAGGGCTGAAAAGACGCCAAGATACAGGTCAGGCTTGAACTCTGGTTGGCATGGGATGACATATCTTGAGTTCCTTAAAAGAGAGTCTGACAAAGCTCAGGATGTCAGGTTATTTATACATATACATGATTGCTGGCAACACCAGAAGCTAAAGAAAGGCATGGAACAGATTCTCCCCTAAAGCCTTCAGACAGACACACACACACACACACATTTTCCTGGCTTGATATAACGCATCATTTTGGTTCTATTTCTCTGCTTTAACTTACCATGAAAACATGTACCTGACTCACACACCTTCTCCCCCTCTTCTCATCCCCGCCTCACCACAGCTGCCTGACACAGGCAGAATTGGCCAGCCACTTATCGGCACTTACATCTTCTAAAATGCCCCGCACATCCCTTTGACAGACACCAAGTCCTCTGTGGAAAGCCTGGGCGTCTCCCTGCTGCAGACCATTGACCAAGGGTGAGTCCACTTAAGCTGTTCTTACAAACAGTGCAGAAAATCTCTCCAGGACATAGATCTTTGCTCATGTGTGCAGGTATTTCTGAGATGTGAATTCACAGTAGGGGGTTATAGGGTCAAAATATAGATACATTTTGCTAATGCCAAATTGCTTTGGGAAGAGATTGCATTGATTTATTCTCCACCGACAGATCTTTTTGATTTTTGCCGATATAAATGGTTGAATAATTTCACTGTTGTTTTAATTTGCATTTCTATTTGTGAGGCTGAATATTTTTATGTTAATTAACTATCTCCTGTGAATTGCTTGTTCATATCCTTTACCTATTTTGAGTCATTAATTTGTTCGTATTGTGTGTAGTCTTTATACAGAAAAGTGTTATTGCTGCAAATCATTTCACAGTCTTTTTTTAACCTCTAAATGCCTTTCACCAGTAGAACTTTGCCATTTTAATGTAGCCAAATTTGTTAATTCCTTCCTTTAGGGATACTGGGTTTCATGTCACCCCAAGAATATGTTTTCTATGCTTTTTCTAAAACTTTTGGCTTTATACTATTAGGCACCTGGAATTTAATTTTTTAGCGTGTGGAGTGATGTAGATAGAGCTCCAACTTTCTCAAATAATCTATCATTTCCTAGTGTTTTGAAATGCTGCTTTCATACATCTGGGTCTCTGGACTCTTTAATTTGCTTATTTATCTTCTACTGCAATGTCATACCATCTAAAGTATTGTAGTTCTATAGTACATATTGATACGTAGTAGGCAAATGCTCCTCACCACTGTTTTTCTTGTCCATAGAACTTTTAAAAGCTGTTGGGATTGAGATTGGCACTGCATTGAATTTACCAAGTTATCGGGGGGAGAATCATGCCAAGTGACTACACTGAGTCTTCCCATCTAGGCATGTGGGATACTGTTCCATTTATTCAGGTCTTCTTTGTTACATTTAGAAAAGTTTTATTGTTCATACACAATTTGCACATTCCTAGTTGGATTACTTGCAAGATGTATTTATAGCTTTTGTGAATGAAATATTTTTCATTATATTTTGTACTTGCTTGCTGGACTATATGGAAACTATTGACTTTGATACGCTGATAGATCTAGCAAAGGACTTGACCAAACTCTAATGCTTTGTTCCTGAACGAAGGTTTCTGATGGTCTGTTTCTTATAGGGTGTCTGAATATTCCAAGGAAAGACCAGTAAACTACTGTTTTCCTTAGACCTTAAGATACAGACAAATTAACTGGGGGAATATTGTTAAAATGTGTATTCTGATTCAGCAGGTGGGGTTGGAGGCTCAGAATCTGTGTCTCTAACAGGGCTCCCAGGTGATACCAGTGTTGCCAGTAGTGTGGCCCCCAGAGCACATTTTAGTAGTGAGAGGCTAGATGATACGTTTTCTGTGATCCATCATAAAACAGATGTTCCTCTTGGATTTCATATGAAACAACTGTTGCTAATACCCATGGAGCAAGAACATCTGTAAACGCGGGCAGGATTCCTAGGAGGGTTTGTGAAATGTCAGAGCTGGAAGAGCCCCTGGAAGCTGGTTTAACCACCTTGCTTTACATCGGAGAATACTGAGGCCCAAAGAGGTGGTGGAGTCATCTAAAGCATCAGAGCTGTGTCCCAGATCAGGTAAGTGCCATACCGGGGCCAGTTTATTCTAACTAGCCAGGGGACTGGCCTTTAGCTAGCCTCAGAAACTGAACCTGTTTCCTCATCTATAAAATGGGGATAATAATACCTGTTCACCGCATGGCACATCCGTGAAAGTCAAATGGGTCAAACAGCAAGAGGAAAATGGACAGAGAATGGTCTGAGTGCCTAAGAGGACCCAGGTCTGTCTGGCTCCAGAGGTCATGCTTGTTTCTGGCCCTTTGTCTTCCCCCAGGGTGATGGTGAGTGAAGAGGAAGCCTATAGACCCAGGGGGCACAGACTCAAACAGTAACAATGGGGACAGTGGGGTGTTGTGGACAAACAGGAACAGGAAGGACCGTGGTAAACAGGAGTGGGTGCTGCCACTCAGCTCATCTAATTGAGACTGTGCAGGAACGTGGGCCCTGCACTTCCAGATCTTCTGACCTTTCAGAATAAGCTAGAGGAGTGTGTGTGTTCTTCTACAATGTAAAGCTCCTGGGTCTTAAAATGCGGCAATTAATTCAAGTTGTAAAAATTACTGTGTGGATCAGACACAGCAAGTCAGAGGTTAAACTTGTCCTTAGCTTGTCAGTTTATAAACAGTGCTGCCAACAGCTGAGATGCTACTGGCACCCCTGCCCTGCCCTGGTGCCATGTTCCAACCCTGACAGGCTGCATCTGACTCTCCAGCATGGGTTTAACCATCAGTATTCATCAAAAGCTCCCTAGGTGCTTCTCACAGCACCCAGCATGGATGCCTACATGCTGTGTCCAGCAATGGCCGGGACCCTTCAAAGAGGCGGAGCTGAGGTTGGGACTCCTGGTTTCTCACACAACTTACTTCCCCTCTCCTGCAACATCCTCAGCTGAATGCATGTCTGTGCGTCTGAATTTTCCAGGACGGTGAAGCCAGGTGAGACCGTTAGATTCCAAATAAAAGGCATCCCAACAATAGCTGGACTTGAGACATTTATCAAGTTTAGTTCCAATCAGGTGAAAGAGGTTCATGCTGAGAAGACTGCTCTCATCACAACTAGCCTTTGCCTGATGCCCTGGAAAGAGGCAGCAGCTCTGACTGGCTCTAAGCCTTGGTTGAGCGTTTCAGCATTTCCTGCTTTGGGATTAGCTTTCAGATAATTAGATTTTATTACTCATTAGATTTCAGATGATTAGATTTGATTACTCACATGAGGGCAGATTCAAGAGCCAGCTGGGTGAAAGTTAGCGTTCAAAGGCCAACACAAATCACAGGCAGCAGGACCCACTAGGCCGGGTCATGTGGAATCACAGGGTAGCCTGTTGACAGCTAGAAGCGCCCAGCCTGGGCCACAGAACCTCACCTCCCTGCCTTGAGTCGTGGCCTCAAAGAGCAGGGCCACCACCATCTGCAGGCAGAACCAAAGGCGTCCACAGCCACAGAGTCCCTCCCTGGAGACACAGGCTATCAGAAGCTGCTGCCCACTTGGCCCGTGAGGAGGGACCACCTCTTCAGTCCCAGAGTTCATCAGCCCTGGAAGCACCAGCCAAGTAGAGTCTTCTGCCAGAACTGGGCTGGGCCTGCTGGAAATATATTCTCTCCTCGCTCCTCCTCCTGCCTGAAATCCCACCCCTCTTCCTTCCCTGAGGGGGGCCTACCTGAGGAAGAGCAGGTAGACGGGGCCTTTCCCTCGGATCTCTGCACACACCGGGCCTGGGCCTGGGCCTGCCTGCCAAACCAGAAGCAGGACTGAGGGCCAAGTGCTGTCTGTCCACCTTTGACTTTCGACAACTTCAGGCAACTTGAAACTATGACACGTAAAACCCAACTTCACAGCCCCTACGCTTCCCCATGGTTGGTGAGCCTTTGAGGCACCTGTAGTGTAGTAGGCATGTCCAGTCTTCCATGTGGAAGGAGCCCCAGCCCCTTGGTGGTGGCGGATGGCCCAGTGGTCCCTCCTACTTGATGACTGATGGTGTTGGTAAGTTAAAATCAGGAACCTTCAAGGGGGCCAATGCGGGGGTGGGGGGATGAGGGAGGGAGGGAGGAAGATGGTGAACGGCCCCACCTCTCCTGGTGAGGGAGCCTGCATACCTGCTCCCTCCATACAGCCCCTGAACCTTCTCCAAGGAAGCCACAGCCTCCTCACCTGGTCCCATCCAGACATTTCACTCTCACTCTAACACCTGAAACATCCCCTCCTCCAGGCAGCGTTGGGAGTGATCGGAGAGCACCCCTACCCCTCACACCAGGCAGGCCCATCCCAGGCCCTTACCCTGCTGAGCACTCCCAGCTCACACGCGGTGAGGACAGCCAGCCCTGTGCTCCCCAGACATGCTGCTGGACCCCAGGTCCCCTTTTCAGGAAGGCCTTCCCTTGGGAACCATCTTGGATGTGGCCCTAGATGTGGTCTGTGAATTAATTTGCTGATCCTGTTGCTTCAGTTCCTTTCTCTCATGGCCAAGGAGGTAAGATCCATCCCTCTGTACCTCCCATTCACTCCCTGATCCCCAGGAATAAAGCTGCCTTTGTGACCCTGTGGGCCTCCACCTCGGGGTGCAGAGGGGGCAGGCCAGCCAGAGGAGTCCTGACTTGGACCAGACCCAGGAAAAGAAGGGTGTTAAACAAGGGTGCCCCTTCCTGACCTTTGGGATAAAGAAGACATCCCAAGGGGTGCCCCACGTCTGCCTTGCCCACCACCTCATCTCACCAGTGCTGGTGGCCCCATAGGGCTGGCCTGGAAGCAGAGCTGTGGGCCGCAGCACAGGGACCCACCAGAGATGCCCTCTCTGGTAGTGTGTGTGTGTGTGTGTGTGTGTGTGTGTGTGTGTGTGTGTGTGGCGGGGGGCTGTTTCAGTCTGCAGGCCCTGGCCACCACCCATCCTTTCAGAGACACACGATGGGCACTGTCTTGGGAGAACTGGCCTAAAACATTCAGGCCAGATTTCTGGTCAGTTCTGCCCATGTGGGTGGTTAGACTCCCTCCAGGACGGACAGTTAAATGCAGTTCTCATAGGGGAGGTCAGAGTTCCGGTAGCTCTAAACAGGTTCTTCCTCCCGACCCTCCAGTGGGGATGGACCGATTTTTAGCCACAAGGCAGGACACCTCCGAGCTGACGCAGGGATTCTAGTATCTATAGAACGGGAGCTAAGTTTGGGTGTTACTGTCATAACTCAGGCTTGCTTCCAACCTCGGCATGTCCCGTGTGTGTGTGTATAGCCTGCTGTTGGAGTCTTCTCCCAAACCAAGCCTGAGCCCTGAAGGTAGCTGAGGCCGCCATGCCTTTCTTCTAGTTTAGGCAGGCACCAGGGGGAAGCCCTTTCGGGGGAGTGACCAGAATCCTTTCAGCCTTTCCAGGTCCATCTCTCCTGATGCCAGTGACCCACCCCAGGTTCCCAAGGCCAGCCCTGCTCTGTTCTTCCATCACAACCACACAGCCTTAGTTCTCAAAAGCCAGGAGCCTGGGCCCCAACCTTCTCAAGAGAAGACAGACATCCCAAGAAAGGACAGAGGCCAGTTCTTTTCTGCCCCCAGGCTGCCCTATTCAGAGCTTCCTTTGCTGGGTGAGGGTGCACAGGCTGTGAAGGGCGCCCAGCCTCGGAGAATGGTTCCTGACAATCCCTCATGGGCAGATGAGCTCAGAGCAAATTTCTCATCTTCCTCTGTCACCCCTAGTCCACCCCCATCCCCGACCTGGTCCAACGTGGGGAGAGGGAGGAGGGGTCAGAGGACGGCAAGGCCAAGGGGGTGGTGTGAAGGGAGCAGTGGGTGCAGGGGAGCGAGTGGTGCGCAGGAGCCCTGTGGCGACGATGCCGGCACGTAGGATGATGCGGCTGCCTGGTGCCTGGCCCTCTCCCCACAGTATCATTCATCTATCACCTCCACAGAGTCCTCGTCCTTCCTCTGCTCTGAGTGCTCCTCTGTTGTTTCTGTGTTCTCAGTGTCTGACAGCGATGCCACCTGTCGCACCCAGTCACTGTCACTGAGAGGCTTTGGATGACGCAGTCCGGAGAAGGGGTTGAACCAGTTCAGGGAAAAGTCCCCACCAAAGGTCTCTTTGACTGACTTCCAGCTGCTTGTGCGTTCCCTGGGCTGGTGCTTTCGTTTGAGGCGCTCAATGCCCTGGAGGGACAATGGGATAAAGAGGGTCAGCGTGGGACAGCCGTGCGCCATCTAACACACCCCAGGTCCCGGCACAGCAGAGCACCAAGGCCCAGAGCCAGGGGCTCCCAGAGGGTGGGGAGGGGCTCGGAGCAGCGCAGCAAGCAGGGCCTGTGTTTCCCACCAACTGCCCTCCTTTCCTTCCACAGGAGCAAGGGTGCCCGGCCAGCTGCTGCGCAGTGACCAGGCTGCCCAGTGGCTAAGGGCCAAGGAGTAACATCTCAGGCCTCTGCAGGCATGAGCTGGGCCACCTGTCCGGAGACCACCCGGAAAGACAACCCCTCCCCAAGTATCCTGGGCCACTCCCCCTACAGCAGGCGCAGCAAACCCAGCACGAAGGAGGATGATGCGGTTAAGGGGGAGAGCAGGAGACACACGAAGCGTGAGGTGAGGAAGCAGAGGTGTGCACAGCGAGTGCCAACATGCAGCGGGCAGCTGGAGGGTGCACGGGGCCGCTGCGAGGTGGCAAAGGCTGGCGTCGAAACTGCACATGCAGTAGACATGCCCTGTGGCCTCTCCCGAGCTGCCCACTCACCTGCCTCTGGGTGTCGGCTGCGCCAGGCCACAGAAGAGGGTGTTGGGAAGGGGGAGAAGCCAAAGGAGTTAAAGGCACAGCCAGGCCAGCTCTCCAGGCCCACCACACCCTCTGCAGAGGCTTTACCCCCACTGGGGCTCTGCCTCCTCCATCTCTTCTGGAAGCCAAGGAGATTTGTCGTGGGCTTCCCAGGCACAGGTACTGCTCACTGACAGCACTTTCCACCTCGGAATGACCTCTGAGTACCTAGTTCTAGGTTTTCTCTTCTTTTCCACACAAGATCCTTACATAACCAGCATAATTCTTTCTGTTGTGCAGAAGGAGAAACTGAGATACACGTACAGACTGAGATCTGGCCACACCTGGGCCAGTTCCTCTCCACCACTCTTTCGTCCCACACCATCTCAGAGGTTTAAGTTTCTTGGCTTTTGGAAAAATGGTAGGTTAAAGAACCTGATCTCAAAGTATCTCCTCATAAGATACTTCCTAATTACCGAGGGTAAAACAGTACCTTTACAGTAAGGAAACTTCGCAGATATAACTTTAACCAATTGAAGTTAACATCACCAATAATGAAATGTATCAACATCACGTGCCCTCCGATACGGTGCCCCAAGAAGGACAGAACATCACTTCACTGGTTTTCCTGCCCAAAAGGCATAATCTCAATCTAATTATGTGAAAACATCAGACAAATGCAGATGTCAGGATATTCCACAGAATATCTTCAACAGGATAATAATCTTCAACAGGATCAAAGTCTGATGAAATTGTTTTGGAACCAGACAGAAGTGGTGGTTGTACAATATTATGAACGTACTAAATGCCACTGAACCACACACTTTAAAATGGTTGCTTTTATGTGATGTGAATTTAACCTCAACTAGAAAGAGGATCAGGTTCATGAAAGACAGAGAAAGACTGAGGAGGAACTAAAGACACAGGACAAATGATGCAATGTGGCATCCTGAAACAGAGAACGATACTAGTGGGACAACTGGAGAACTCTGAATAAAGTATATAGATTAGTTAATGGTATTGTATCAGTAAATTTCCAGGTTTTTATATTTGTGTTATGGTTTTATAAAATGTTTACATTTGGAAAGACTGATTGAAAGGCATATGGGAGCTCTTTGTACTATTTTTACTAATTTTTTTTTTTTGGTTAAGTCTGAAATTATTTCTCAGTAAAAAGCTAAGAAAAATCTGAGACACGATTTATGCAATACAGTCTTGAACACGGATTAATAATGAGAAGTTGGAAACAATCAAAATGTCCAATAATGATGGCTAAGTAAATTATTCTATAAAGCACAGCACTATGCAGTTATTGAAAGTGGCATCAACGACAAGGGCCTAATTTTCAAAATATACAAACAGCTCATACAACTCAACAACAAAAAACAAATAACCCAATCCAAAAATTGGCAGAAGGCCTAAATAGACATTCCTCCAAAGAAGACATATAGATGGCTAGTAGGCACATGAAAAGATGCTCATCATCGCTAATTATTAGAAAAATGAAAATAAAAACTGCAGTGAGGTACCACTTCACACTGGTCAGAATGGCCATCATCAAAAAGTCTACAAATAATAAATGCTGGAGAGAGTGTGGAGAAAACGGAATCGTCTTAACACTGCTGGTGGGAATGTAAATTGGTATGGAAAACATACCAATGGCTGCTATGGAAAACAGTATGCAGGTTCCTCAAAGAACTAAAAATGGAGTTGCCATATGATCCAGCAATACCACTCCTGGGCATATACCCAGACAAAATTATAATTTGAAAAGATACATGCACCCCTATATTCAAAGAAGCACTATTTACAATAGCCAAGACATGGAAACAACTTAAATGTCCATCGACAGATGAATGGATAAAGAAGATGTGGTGGGGAGATACACACACACACACACACACACACACAATGGAATACTACTCAGCCATATAAAAGGATGAAATAATGCCATTTGCAGCTACATGGATGGACCTAGACAAATACCATATAGTATCATTTAAATGTGGAGACTAAACTATAACACAAATGAACATATCTAAGAAACAGAAACAGACTCACAGAAACGGAGAACAGACTTGTGGTTGACAAGCGGGAGGGGAGGTGGGAGAGGGAAGGATTGGGAGTTTGGGATTAGTAGATGCAAACTATTATATATAGAATGGATAAACAACAAAGTCCTATTGTATAGCACAGAGAACTATATTCAATATCCTGTGATAAACCACAATGGAAAAGAATGTGAAAAAGAATGTATATATACATGTATAACTGAATCACTTTGCTGAACAGCATAAATTAACACATCATTGTAAGTCAACTATACTTCAATAAAATTAAAAAAAAAAGTGGCATCAATACAGTTTTACATACACTGGAAAGTCCTGTCCACGTGGTGACAAGGGAAGAAAGCAAAGTTGCATCTGACATCATTGTGGAACCTGGGGTTTGGGATTTTATTTTTTTTTAATTAATTAATTAAACAGCTGAGTTGGGTCTTTGTTGCTGCGCACGGGCTTTCTCTAGTTGCAGCAAGTGGGGGCTACTCTTCATTGCAGTGTGTGGGCTTCTCATTGCAGTGGCTTCTCTTGTTGTGAAGCACGGGCTCTAGGCGCCTGGGCTTCAGTAGGTGCAGCACGTGGGCTCAGCAGTTGCGGCACATAGGCTCTAGAGCGCAGGCTCAGTAGTTATGGTGCAGGGGCTTAGTTGCTCCACGGCATGTGGGATCTTCCCAGACCAGGGCTCGAACCTGTGTCCCTTGCATTGGCAGGCAGGTTCTTAACCATTGCACCACCAGGGAAGTCCTGGGGATGGGATTTTAGATTTGATTTATTTCTGTAGACTTGCCACATGTTCCAAGTTTTCACCAAGAAGCAGATGTGACTTTTATAATAACAGAAAAGCTGTTTCAGAAAATGGACCTTATTGACACAACTCTTGAGGGAAACTCACGTGGGTCTGGGGCACAGGATGCTGTGCTATTCACGGTCCGGCCCCTCACCAGGCCTCCCTCCTTAGCGGGAGCGGCAATGGCCAGCTGAGTGACTTGCTTTGGGGATTCTGGGTTCCTTTCCTGGGTGATCGTTTGCAGCCTGTTGAGAGAGGCGTTCTAACCATGACTGCAGGGGTGCTGGGATGCGGCCACTTGGCAGACCAGGCTGCAGAGGGGACACCCAGAAATGACAGACTGGCTGGGTCTGCACTGACTGAGCTCACTCAAAGCCGTGACTGTGGGTCCTTACAACCACCCTGAGAGGAGGCGGGTGTTAGTACTAACGCTCATTATAGGGGAAGACAGGGGTTCTGAGAGGCTGTGACAGCGGCCGAAGCTCATCCTGCTGGTTGTGCCTCAGAACCAGGAAAAGAACTGGTGTGTTCTCTCTGCCCAATGCGTTTTCAATCCTACTGCAAATCCTCACTCAAAGGCAGAGAAAAGCTGCAGAGGGAAATGAAGCAAAAGAGCCCACAGGACAACACAGATGGAAAGATATATCATGTTCTTATATTGGAAGAATTAATATTGTTAAAATGACCACACTACCCCAGACAATCTACAGATTCAACGGAATCCCTATCAAATCCCTGTCTCCTAGAGCAAAGGAAATAAAAGCAAAAATAAACAAGTGAGACCTAATTAACCTTAAACGCTTTTGCATGCCAAAGGAAACCATCGACAAAACAAAGACGATCTACAGAATGGGAGAAAATATTTGCAAATTATATGACCGATGAAGGGTTAATATTCAAAATATATAAACAGCTCATACAACTCAATAGCAACAAACAAACAAGCTGCTTAAAAAATGGGCAGAAGACCTGAATAAGCAGATCTCCAAAGAGGACATGCAGATGACCAACAGGCACGTGAAAAGATGCTCAACATCACTAATCATCAGAGAAATGCAAATCAAAACTACAATATCACCTGTAAGACTGGCTATCATTGAAAACAATACAAATAACAAATGTTAACAAGGATGTGGAGAAAAGGGAACACTTGTGCACTGTTGGTGGGAATGTAAATTGGTGAAACCACTGTGGA